GACTTGTTCTTCAAAGACTAAAATAGTAACCATATTAAGTCTAGATGGAGAAAGTCTCCATCTAAAACTAGCACCAACACTTCTATGATAATCCAAAAAACCAACCAACATAAGCATATTAGCTTCAATATCTTTGGCTTCATCAGAGCCTTTATCCGATCTATTTCCCTTGGAAGATTCACTCGAAATCATAAAAATAACCTCATAACCTGTGCAAAAAGCTTCATTAACTCCATGTTTCTTCAGAAAAACTAAAATCCTTTCGGACAACAAGAAATCACACACCATAAGAATCCCCCTGTATCCGTTTCTCCAAGATTCTTGAAGAAAAAATAAAAAAAACTGCTCAAAAGTTCTTCAAACTGATCCGTCCAATCCTGCATCTCATTCCTCAATTGAAGATTTCTAATCCTTAATTGAAAAAGGATCAATAAAACTTTCATAACAAATCTTGAAGACAAAACCGACCACATCTAATAGATAAAAAGCCACACCAAAATTCCTTGAATAACAACCAAATCCACATCAAGAAACTCCTAGGTTCAAATGTCAAACTCCTAAAAATTCTAGCTCCAAGAACTGAATCAAGGATATTATAAAAGCAATACAAAATCAAGCAAACATTACCACAAAAATACTCAAATCTTCTCAAATTAAGTAGAACATCCACTCCACAAGCCAGCTTTGGCCGAACGATTCCCCATTAGACAAGCCAAAATCGACCACCATACAGAAATCTTATCCAACAAAAAACCAAACCCACCGTCGAGCAAACGAAACTCCTTCTCAAAGATCACATCCAGAAGTGTAAACTTACCAACTTCAATTAAGAAACTAACATCTGAATAATAATCACAGGCATTATCCAATTTTGGTTGATGGAGAACCGCAATCAGGCTTAGGTCTGCCAAAACCATTTCGAAATCCATCGCCTCTTTACCCATATTCTTCAAAGAACCTTCGTCGGCCATACCAGGTTGACGAAGAACCACCGATCTTGAAGGTTCTACCAAAATCGCCAAGATTTCTCTCTCTACTCTCTTCGCTCTCTCTAGGAAGAATTGGATCAATATCATCTATTAGTAATAAATAATAAAAATATATTCTATAATTTCTTTCTTCACAAAAATCATATACACTACTCAGTATCTATTTTATAACTATTTTATCCATAGTATAAAAGAATAACTAAAATAAAATGGAATATAACTTGAAGAATTCTAACCAACCTCACACTCCTGGTCCTCAACCAAACCTAAAATCATTTAATTATATATAATGAGCTAAACAGCACAGCAGATCACCAAAACCTACAACTGAATTTAAAGCACAACAAAAGAGCATAAGATAATATCAAACTACAATATTTAAAGGAAAGCTCGCAAGCCCATCATTATGTATAGGTCAATCGGTATCCAATCAAAAGGTCAACCAGTCTTTACCTATCTTTTACACATACCTTATTATCATAGTACTATAATAGTAATAACGGCCAGCTGTGACTCAATATAATCACATATCTACATTCATTTTTAATGCATTGCAATAAATAAAGTATAATTGAGCTTAAATAAAAAATTGCTAAAATATTTTAACCGTAGAAAACAAAAATCATACGGAGCAAAAAATTTATATTTTCAAAATTTAATCAAAATAGTAGTATTTCATAAAGTAACATTATAAAGTTTTAGTTTAATGAAATCATTATTTTTAGACGTTAACATAAATTTTTGAGTATAAAAAACTATTATATTTTCAAAATCATCCAATGAAAAATCTTATATGAATACTCAAAATGTTCATAATCTCAATTTCTATAACATAGAAAAAGTTACATAGTAAAATTTTACCATGATGAAATTATCTTTATTATTTGGTATTGAAAACACAATTTGATAAAAAAATATCAAAAACATAAAATTTTTTAAATCAGAAATAGGATAATGATTCCTTACAACGAGACGAGTAGATTTCCTAACTGGCACGATAGACAAAAATTGCTTCAAGACCTCTAAATCCCAAATTCCCTTCTCTCTCCTTACTTTCTCACTTAATTTCCCCTTAACATCCTTTGTTTATCGAAATCACAAAGAAAAAGGAAATTTATTTAGTAAATATTAAGTGGCTTTTGATATTTATAATAAAATAACATATAATAATATTAATATAACTACTTAATTTAATCAATTTTCAATATAAAATACATATAAATTCTTTTAGGATTTTAAAAATTATAGAAGAATATTCATAAAATAAATCATTTTATTTAGGAGAGATTGGTTAAATTTGTTTGCAAAACAGATACCTGATGATCTCAAAATCCTCAATTGCAATGATATGTGATAATTTCTTAAGAATTTTCATGAGTGCCAAAAATTACAAAAAAAATTGGTATATTTAAAACACTAAAATAAAAATGTTATTACAATGATGGTTTTTAATTTTAACTTATATTGACTAAAAAAGTATTTATTAGGATCAAAATACGGGTTGTTACAATCTACTCACCTAAAGAAAATATTGTCCCTAACATTTTCCTTAAGGATTCGGGCTTAAAATCAAGATAAACCAAATTTGTATAATTAAAACTTAAATCAAATCAGAATTCATCAAAAAAAATACAACCATGTTGTTTAATCTATCACATATCATTCAATTATGCATCATATGCTTTGTTATTCAATCATTTAAAAAAAAATCTTACTAGTTGTTATTTTACATATCATGGTGTGCGGAATACGTCATACAAGCATATTATTTATCATGTAATATATGTTATATAGAGGTGCAATGTTACACCGATATACAAAAAGCATGACGCACGATATGAAACAATAGGGATTTCATGTAAATGTACTATGCATGCGAGCAGGCAGCATATAGGTGCATTATATATGCATATCATGTAAATACATTATGCCTCATGTTAGTGTAGTAGGACACTACACTATATATCAACACAACATACAAACACGACTTGGCAGCGCACAAATGCATATACCATCATGCATGTATACAAGAAAATACATAAATATCTATGAAAATATGTTAATATATAGATAACAAAGTTGGCATGCTGTGATACTGATGTGTCGTATACACCTGATGCATTGCAGAGATATAACCCCTACGCAAAAGCATTTTAAATATATATTGCAAAAATACATGTAAATGCGTATGCTCGTAGAGCCCCGATGAGCATGTTTTATGCACACACGCGACATCTAAGAATGTTGCATGGGTCAAGAAATGAACTTAATTTTGAGCCCGATCGATCTATATGAATAGATAGGAATTGACCTAGTTCAAACTATCAAATAAATAATTGATCGTGACATCAACTGAAATATTATCTTTTACGTTCATATTAGGCCTTTAAAGCCTTTTGCAAGAAAAATTCACTAGTAAAGTCATAAAGACAATAACGATCCCTATCCTCTTTCAACAAGTAGATAGAGTTGAGAATGTTAAATATATAAATGAAATCTCCCATTAACCATGATGATGGCCTTATTGATAAAAAATTTCAACCGGAGGGGACCTTAAATACTTGAAAATGCCACCCAAATACCATGAAAATTCAAAATCCCAAAGATACCAAAAATCTAAAATATTTAAAATTAAAATAAATCATTAAATACTTAAAGAAAAATCCATCCACCTTCAACAATAGTTTGTTGAGGTAGAAAATTTTGAAAATAAATTTATAAATTACTTCAGCTCACAAAGAGCTAAAGTATAGTCGAGAATATTATTAGGATTCATTCTCATTCAACCTCCTACTAGTAAGCATGTGGCACGTGTCCTCTAACCGATGGTTTTGCTTCTAAATGAAATTATGCCATGCGTTTCGCTGCCAAATAGAACAACAGGTAAACAGTTATGATTGAGACCCTTTGAACCGGGTGGTTTTACCAACAAATGACACACTAAATAATGGTCATGGTCAGAGCCCGCATGCTCCCCAATGTCTTCAAATCCATGATATTTGAGTTAATAGTAGATGATCGATGGGGCACAAAGCCCTTTGTTAGCTAAAGTGAATTCAAATTTGTCCGCTTATACAAATATATATCTACCCCAGGTCTACAAGGTACCCTTAGACGAAACAACCAATGGCTGCCGACAAGGATTCTTCTATCACGTTGGGTTGACTACCTCCTTTAACTAAGTAGACCAAGGATCATGATGAATCGGGATGACGGAACCATGTGATTTCCACCGGGTCCATCATTACTTCCCTACCATCTGCTTTAAATGCAAGATGTTTAAATTTCTAATTTTAAAAATTAAGTCTCAAAGCTAAGCCCGTACTGCTACTATACGCTAGATAACATGTATTTCTACTTATTTGATAGACGACTAGCCTTAATTAAAAGTTCTCTCTCATTTTTGTGAGGAGTAATTAACTGTAGGGGCTTGCGCCTATTAAAACCTGAACTCATATCATAAAGTCCTTGCAAAATGAGAGTGAAATCTTTGTGTAATGTCTTATTCAAAATCAAATATACCTTCTGAAAAATTTCCTCTGAAAATACTTTTTAAAACTCTCCTCAAGTTCCCGAAGAATGAAAGGGACCAAGGAGAGGCTGGGGCTCAAATTTTCGGAGCCCACACAACACAAAAGAAAGAGTAAAAGAAACATAGAAAATGTAGCAATTTATGTGATTCGACTTCAACCATACATATATTCATGGAAGAGGACAGATGATGTGATACACTTCTCAAGAAGCAAGAAGTATGGCATATAAATAGAGAAAAAACTTACCCGCCCTCTCCAAATCTAAAATGTACCCATGCTAACAAAAAAACCTAAGAATGACTTCATGAGAAAGATAAACTCATTATAATAGTCTTCTACTTGCATTCATTCCTTACCAATTCTGCAATTAACCATAGCTGCTATTATATATGTCTATTGTGGATTGGAGAGAGAGAGAGAGAGAGAGAGAGAGAGAGAGAGAGAGAGGTTGCTCACAATCCAACCAAAAAATCATCATATATATCCAACAATACCCTAGGTGGTCTATCTAGCTTGGTAAGGTAATGTTATATGTTGCATTCAAACATTTGAATTCGCAGCAGATATGCAATTGTATCCATTGCTTATGACATTGACAATCAACTAATTTCTCTCCCATTTAAGTATATCATTTATAACTTTCACTGTATTGATACACATTAATGGTGTTGACAGAACTGGTATTGCCTTTCCAAAACAATGGCTGAGAGGGCGGCCTTCAAATATGCACAAGAAAATGGACTAGATGTTATCACTGTATGCCCAAGTCTAACCCTTGGGCCGCTCCTGCAATCAGATGTCAATTTTAGTAGCTTAGTGCTACTAAGTTTTCTTAAAGGTCATAATCTCCACCATGCAAATAATCAAGTTCCTTTGGTTAGGCTTGGTTTAGAACGGCTTTCTTATGACTTCTTAAAGCAATTTTTTAATATAAAAATTAAAATTTCTATACTACAAAACTACTTTAAGAAGCAATAAGAAAGCCATTCCAAACAAGGCGTTAGTTTCCAAGTTAGTTATAAGAATCCTTCAAAACATCAAGATTCATACTACTTTGTCTACAAGAATGTCAAAACATTGGAATTTTTGAATTTGTATTATTGGCTAATGTTTTTCCTTCATGAACTATGTAAAACTGTATTCTGAACTTTTGTAGGATCTCAGGAGTTAATAGAGACTTATAATTGCAAATATTTTGTCGATGTTAGAGATGTCGCTGAGGCGCTCCTTTTGGTCTACACGAAGCCTGATGCCTCTGGACGTTATATTTGCTCACTCAACCGTATCAAATTTGCTGACCTAGTTGATATGGTGAGGAACGTGTATCCAAGTTTCAATTATCCTAACAAGTAAGACTTTTACTGCTTTCTTAATATAAGAATCATCACAATTTTTCCTACGTTTAAATGTTTTATTTTTATAGTCTTTTTGTGTATAAAATTACAGTATCCCTGAGAGGAATGAAGGAAATGATTTGAGTTCAGAGAAATTAAAGAAGCTTGGATGGAAGTGTAGAACGCTAAAGGAAACCATCGCTGATTCAATTAAATACTATCAAGAAGTTGGTCTTTTAACCATGGAGGAGAAGACCACATAAGGCTAATTTATTTATATACAAAATTTATAATTGTAAAATTGTAAAATTTGCAGTATTTCTTCCTGGATTAAGCACCTTATATATATATCTGCAATATTTCAATGTTACTTTCTCATGTGCTAGAATTGTTTTCTTCTTATTATTCTTCCAATTATGAACTATGTTAAATCAATATTTATTTTAAATATGGGATTCAAAATTATCATTATCCTTCTATCTAGCTTTTGTAAGAAAGATCTTTCTATCATCATTTAAGTTTTATTTGGGACAACTTTTTTACCGCTTTCTAAATCAATTTTTTATGGGTCATATACATAAAAAAACATAAGAAAATTAAAAGCTTTTGACATTAATTGGAACTTAAAAGCTGCTTCTAGTGAGACCAAATAACTTTTCAATTCATACTTATATATTAAGATGATTAAGATTTTGTTTGGGGCGGCTTTCTTGCTGCTTCTTAAAGCAATTTTTTAGTCAAAAATTTAAATTTTTGTACTAAAAAGTTGTTATAATAAGCAACAAAAAAGCCGTCTCAAACGAGAACTTTTATTTTATCCAGTGAACGTACGCAGAGGAACGTTCGGTTTTAGGCAAAAAAAGCACCTGTACCGCGAGTACCGAGTACCGAGGTGTACCGAGTTCGGTACAGGCGCTTTTTTGCCTAAAACCGAAGGTTCCTTTGCGTACGTTCACTGGATATAATAAAAGTTCCTCAAACGAAGCCTAAGATAATTTGATCTTGAGTAGATATATTCTAACTCATATAAATGGCTTACTAAATCTTAAGAGGATTTGCATGAAATTCTAAAAGAAAAAAATATATTTCTTTTTAAAAAAAAAAGAGTCATGTTAATATGGAAAAATAAAGCATTATTTTAAACATTCACTTAATATTAGAAGATAATTTAATGAGAAAAATTCATTTTGCAAGTTGTTTTTCTTAAAATAAAATGCTTCTTCACAAGTTGTTTTTCTTACATGTGACTGCACTAGTTATGATTTATTTTTTGAAATTGGGATACCGAAAGTGCAAATATAAGTTTTAAAAATGATTTAAAGAATTCTTCTTACGATGTGGCTATTGTTTAATCAACCACGCATACAACATGAAAAGCATATTTTAAGTCAAATGCGGACGTTCAATCCATATCTAAAAGAAAATAGGATATCTAAGTTAAAATTTCATTCAAGCATGCTTTGCTTGATATTACTTGTAAATTTTGGTGCAACGGTAAGACATGTTCTTTAAATATGAGCTTTATGAATATCTTCTACTAAGAAAAATATCTAGATGCCAAAAAATAAAATACACATCATAGCATAACTACACATACAATAACATATTAATAGAGCTCTCTCTAGGAAAATCACGTATTTCCGACGATTTTTTTTTTTTTTGGAAAATCATTAAATTTCTGCAAGAAATGCTATTTTTCGGCGGATTTCCGACAGAAAAAATCCACTGGTAAATTGTGCACAGGAAAATTAAATTCAACAGATTTTTTTTGCCGATAAATTTTCTGACAAATTTTCAATAGATATCTTTTTGTAACAAGGCGTCGCCAAAAGCGATAGAACAGACCAAATTGCAACCAAAACTTTCCAGTAGGGATTCTACCGAAAAGTTCTGGCAGAATCTTGCCCCCCACTTCGATTGTTATATCTGTCGGTGCCGTATCGAGGATTTCTGGCAAAAATGCCACTGGAAATCTGCCAAAAACCTGTAGCATACTAAAAATAATTGCAACCCTTCATTGTTTCACTAAAGCAATCAATACAGTTTAGGCTACAACAATTTATACATATATAAACATTCCATCATGATACAATAATGTTAATAATAGCCTAGTCCAAATCATTCAAAACATAAATCTGACAAACTTTAAATGTCGTGATTGTAAACAAAAATCGTTCAATTCAACAACATAAATCTCAGTACGTTGTCATCCTTACACACCTTCAAAATAAGTTCTCCAAACATCATTAAAAACAAACAAAAAACTAATAACATTTTTCGATATATGTAAAAATCTATTATAATAATCTTCAACCTCTTTGCTCCCCACAGACTTAGGCTTAGATTGTTGATCCTTCTTCTTTTGAACTGCTTAGGCATGATCACAGCTCTGCCTGCATCTCAGACTGTTTTGTTAGTATATTTGTTTGTATTTGTCTCACTCCTCTATCTTCTTTGTGAGAGCAGCCATCCTCTGGCTGACTATATCCTCAACTCCACTATCACCAAATGATGCTGAGGTGGATAGATTGAAAGTTCATTAGGGATGTTAAGCCCTTATGAACTAGCTCAAGGCTGACCAAGAGAGGGGGGTGAAATGGTATTTTAAAAAATTCTTAAACAAAAAATCATGATCTTTTAAAATATTTGAAAACCACAAATCAAACAATCATTCACTAGAAAATTAAGTGCGAAAATAAAATGCGAAAAATGCAATAGAAAAGAACACACCAAATTTTATAGTGGTTTGGTCAACTTGACCTACGTCCACTCCCCGGAGCCTCTCCTCCGGGTATTGCACTAAGCTCAGCGACTCTCCTTTTTCTCCTACAGCAAGGCGGAGAAGCCTGTACAAAAACTCCTTTCCACTGACCTTGATGAGGTAGAGAACCCGACTTCTTTTGCTTCCTCTTAAAGCAGGCAAATCAGAACCTAACTCCTTTCTCTTCCTCCTGAAGCAGGAAAAGAACCTCGATCAATTGCTAAATAGAACTCTGTCGAACCTCTAAGGAACCAGGGATAATGACCAGAGAAGACGACTTAGATCCTTGCTTGGAGCAACTTTTGTGAAACCCTCACAAACTCCCCATCACAAGATCATTTCTCTCTCTCTCTCTCCCTTTCTCTCCCTCTCCTCTTGGCTCTCTCAATCCAGGACAACAACAAAAGATACTCTCTTGAGTAAACAAGAGGTCTTAAATAAAAGGCCTTCAAAATTTCCCTAAATTTTAACAAATCGACAAATATTGTCCAGGATGATCGACAGATCGTCATGGTTGATCAGTACAAATTCAGCTCAATCAGCCAAGATGATCTGGGGGAGGCTGGATGATTAGATGATCTATTTGTTCTGATCATCTAGGATGATACAAATATTATCATGTACGATTAGTACAAAACGTCAAGTATCATCCAGACAATCTCTCTATTCGTCCAGAATTTTTATGTTGGACGATGAAAAAATAACTGATCATCCTGGACAATTTTTGGATCGTACCGTACGATTAGTTCAAATGAATACACTTCATCCATAATATCATTCTGGTCATCCAGGAAGTAACTTAGGTTTGTTTAACTGATCGTCCTGGATGATCCTGAGATCATCCAAGACGATATGATCAATCAATCAAATCTTAATTACTTTTTTTAATTATTAGACTAATTTAGACATAATTTTAATGCATCATCCAGAATGATGTTCAAAAATAATAACATGCCTAAAAGAGTTGACGGTTGATTCTTTCTGATTTGAGTATATCATTTAGGACGATGCTAATATCGTCTAGGACGATGTGCTTAATTTCGTTTGCCTTAACCAGGATACTCTAATTATGGTTTTTATTTTAAACTAATCATCCAAGACGATTTGGTATCATCCTGGATGATATGATCAAAAATATAAAACTCTAAAACAAATAGAAATGTTTTTCCCTGAATGTGTGTTTGCAAGGTTACTTAATATCACGACTCACATTATTACATTTGTCTAAAGAAAATATAAAAATACTTGACATATACTTATAGACTGACTCAGTCCTAATCTACCCAATCTTGAACTGGCTTGATTTGCAATTAACCTTGTAGACTTGAAATATTAGTAGGTAGAGAAATAGTGGGAAAATAAAAATATCTAAAATGTTGCTATCATCAAAATTATAATCTCTGAATCTAAATTCACAACAATCTCCCCTTTTTTAATGATGACTAACATTTGCTAGAAAATCCAGGTTAAGCATTTAAATAAAACATAGCATAAAGAAAAACATAAGCAATGCTAATAGTACAAAGTAAACACTACCACTACTCCTCCTTTTGACATCACAAAAAGGAGGAGGAACTTGAAAAAATTGCAAAAAATATAAAAACAAATAATTAACATCACATAAAATATCATAATAAAAATAATCTATAAGATTTTTTTTTTAATCAAAGCACAAATATGATAAATTTTTCATGTAATTGAATTGAGAATTTATAAGAAAAATGAGTTAACATCATCGAAATCTAAAAAATGGTAGAGCAACCGATCCTGTTAGCCCTAGCTCGAACTTCTTATTGGGCAAACTATCTTTTGAAATTAAAGATCTAACTCAAAAAAAATAATTAGATAAGAAAAGTTATCTATTCAAAACTTGGTTCTAGAAAAAATATTTTATAGAATAATATGCCAAAGTAATTAGTCACAATCATGAATTTTGAAATCAAGCCTCTAAAAATATCAAGTGATACATGAATTCTTTTATGATTTAAAATTTTGAAAGAGAAGTAAGCCTACTTTCTTGTGGGCTCATTTTATATCTTTTTGTCAATTGGTTGAAGCACTTTACGTATCTTTTGATTTTTTATATACTTTGTGTATCTTTTAATTTTTTTAGGTGATCATTGCACATCTTTTTAATTTTTCTTTTTTTAGCTCATTTTATGCACTTGTCAGTTTTGCAAGCTAGATCCCTTTTAAAACTTTTAAATACTCTTAGTTGTGAGAATATCTTTCAAATATTAGAGACGAAAAACTCACTCTCTAATATAAGGAAGAGTAAACCACAAAGCATAATCAAATTCAAATGATAAATGCAACGATAATATTATGAAATGTTAAAGGTGATTTAATGACTTTGAACATTATTTATATAAGATAGATTACTGTAGCAAGATAGAAACCATCTCAATCGTAAAATCCAGTTGTTAAATTAAGATAGACTTTTGTTTAGAAAAAAAATTACATTGCTAAAAGAAGTTAGAGGAACGAAAATAATCAATAATGTTTCTCCCTTTAACTGATTTAGGTATGTCAAATATTGACTACAAATTTTCAAAAATAAAAATAAATCATAAAATTTCATTTTATTAGTGACCAAAAGAAAAAAGTAGAAAGAAGAAAACTAAAACAACAGAAATGAAAACATAAAAAATATTAAAAATTAACAAATATAACT